GTTTTACTTATGAAACGTAAAAAATTTCCGACCGATGACCTTGATGTTCATCTGTATGGATATATATTTTTTAAAATGTAATTGTATAATAAAAGTTATGTATACTTAAAAATTAAATAATAATAATAAATGTATTTCTTAAACACATCATTCTGTTGTTTGTATTTCACCTTCAATTCATCAATCCGCTTAAATTCAATCTAATTTTTAATTTGTATTATTTACATTATAGTCAACTTAAATGTTAATAAATCCTATTATTTTAAATTTAAACTGTTAGTATTTGTTAATTTTACCGATTGTTAAATTTTGTATATATTTAATTGTGTGTAAACTTTCAAGATTTTATTTTAAAATGTTTCAATATATTTAAATTGGGTTAATTGGGAAAATTAAATTGTATTATTTAAACCTTTTCCTTCTTTTATTTAAATGTTTTTTTTTTCACGTACATCATTTTTGTTAATGAAAATGCATTAAAACAATTTTATAATTTGTATTATTTTTTTTTACTTCCTTAATATTAATTATACAATAGCATTTCATTTAGGTCAATTATTCCATTGCTCAGCATTATTGCAGCCAGCGAGGTGCATTGCACTTTACTTAGCGATGCGCCGCGTCGTTTGTCGTAATTTGACACTTCCGCCCGGCGAGGAAAGCATTGTATCGCGTAACTCATAATCAGTTTTACTTTAGAAACCGAACGTGTCAAACGTAAACCGCGCGCAATGTCTCGTAGTCGTCTCTGTGTTTTTCTTTTTTTCGGTCTTTGTGAGTTTAAACAAATGAAAAAATTTATTCGAAGTTGAGTTGGATTACCCATCAAACGTAAACCGCGCGCAATGTCTCATAGTCGTCTCTGTGTTTTTTTTTTCTTTTTTTTTCAGCCTTTGTGAGTTTAAACCAAAGATATAAATTTATTCGAAGTTGAGTTGGATTTACCCTTTTTACCATATTTATTGTTATATATAATTGAATTTGTAAAAAAAAGTACCATAACATTAAGGTTTTTATTATTTTTTTACTATTTATTATGTAATTAAAATGTTTATTAATACTTTTATTGGGTTGATTGGGGGGAAAAATTAAATTGTCTTAAATTGTGTTATTATTTTCCGGAATATTCCCAAGTTCCTGCGCACGCGCATTCAAGAGTTGTGAGGCGCGCCTTTCATCTTTCAGAAACGCCGGTTCTAGACAGGAAGTTGTCGCACCGCCGCACCTCCGTGACGTCATCCGCCCAATGTAAAATGTAAAAGGGGGGGAGGGGTGTCAACCAAAGGCTTGGGGGAAAAAAATAGGTTGGTAACTAGACCTGGTGATTTTTTAAAAAAAGTAACAGTCTACCTGGTTGGTAGTGGTTTAGTTCCACTACCAACCACTAGGTGGCGCGTTACTTTTTAAAAAATTCACCAGATCTAGTTACTTTTCCAATACCAACCTATTTTTTTTTCACCTCCGCCTTAGGTTGGTACCCTTCCCTATCCTTTTACATTGGATTGATGACGTCACGGAGGTGCGGAGGTGCAACTTCTTATCTAGAATCGGCGTTTCTATACTACTTTACACGGTTAGATTTAAACTTAATTATTTTCATTTGTTAAAAGACTTAAAATTGGGATTAGTTAGTCGTTTTTATTATTTTTTTTTTAATTTGATTTAAACGTTTTTCCCTGACAAGCTTGTAGAGGGGGGGCGAATCATTAAGTTTCGCGATATTTTTGTTATTTGTTTTTTTTTGTTTCCCATTTTATCTCTTATAAAAAGAATTTGATTTGTGATTTTTTTTTATCTTTCATATTAACTTTATTTATTTTTTTTGTGTTATCTTTGCATCTCTTGAATAGAATTGTTTATATCGTTATTTTGATTTTAAATTTCCTTTTCCCTCTCTTTTTCCAACAACCCACTTCACCATTAGTGTGGGTCAAGGGATTTCAATGGTGTGGCGCCAAATAAATGAACTACCCCTCCAACCCTGAACTAGCCGAGGTCCCCTTGACCTCATATTATTTAGATTGGGAATTAGGAATCAATTTATTTTTGTTTTGTATCTTCTTTTCTCAATTTGTTTTGAAGGCGTAACAAATTATAGAAGCTGAATCAAGTTCATTGGGAGCAGGTACATCAAAGAATGCTAGCCCATCAACAATGCCAGATGAAGAGATGTTATTGAAACATAAAATATGTTAAATCACAATGTACTAGGTATTTTAATTGCTTCAATATTGTCAGTTTCGCTTGAAAAAGAGGATAAAGGTTCTTTATTGCAAGAAGTTGAAGTTCGGAGAGAGAAAGATTTGTTACCAAAAGCCCGAAAATTATATAAAAGAGCTACTCATTATAAACGATTACTATCTAAACAGAAACAAAAAAATTTTGTTATAAGAAACAGATTGGCTCATCTAGAGAATATGAACAGTAACGAACAGATGGAACATGTTCTGGCACCATACAGCACAACAATGACGACATTTATCAAAAGTCAGTTACGAAACTGTTTATTAACAAGCCATGGTAGACGACATACTCTTCACGATAAGGTATTGGCGTTGGTTTTGTTTAAACAAAGTCGTAGGGCATATAAATTATTGTCAACATTCTTTGCACTACCCAGTGCAAAAACTATGAGTAGTCTATTATTTAGAATTCCTATTGTAATGTAGCCATATTCATAATTATTTAAATAAATCATAAAACGTTTAAACTATAAAATGTATGCTCAGCAAATTAATTAATAAGTATCAGGTCATCGTCCGTTGAACCGTATTACCGTGGTAAGCATTATTGCTGTAATACTTTAAAATTGATTACGCTTTTGTAAGCATCAGTATTGTACGAACCTTTGTGTAAAATACATTCACATGTAGTTGGGAAGAAACGCTTTTATTTAAAAAACCTAAAACCCTTCAACGATACCACACTATACAACCAGATATATGTAACCCCATTTTTCAAAGAATAAGGAGTGTGTGCAATGATCTCCAACCTCAAGATAAATGTGTTCTTTGATATGGGATGAAATGAAAATTCACTCTCATTTATTTTTTAATAAAAATACTAAAGAAATAATAGGGTTTGAAGACCAAGGGACTGAATCAACAAATTTAATTGCAAACACTGCGTTAGTGTTCATGTTGAGGGGTATAAATAATAAATGGAAACAAACTGTTTGTTACTTCTTTTCCCAAAATGCTACTAATACTTTTACTTTGGTCCGGCATATTAAAAATATTTTAACCAAATGTGGTGACTGTGGACTTGACGTAGTAGCCACCATCTGTGACCAAGGTACTGGAAATGTTGCAGCTATTAATTAACTAATAGTAAATTCTAAAGCAGATGCTCTCAGACAAGGTACCGAATGGCGTGGTGATAATTGCTATAAAATAAACGACAAAACGTATTTTCATGTTTATGATCCACCACATTTACTAAAAAGTGTACGCAATCGTTTTATTGAAAAAAATTTAACATACATAAAGAAGGTCAACAATATACAGCAAAATGGCAACACATATTGGATGCATATTACATCGACAATCCATCCAGTGAATTTCGTGCCATGCCAAAATTGAAGGATGACCACGTAATTCCTGGTAAAATACGAGTAATGAAAGTGTCGTGTGCTAGCCAAACGTTTAGTTATACAGTAGCTTCAGTAATAGCAGTATTTGTACGATCAGGTAGCAATAAGAGGGACATAACGTAGTTTATACTATTAACCTAGCTACTATGAGTCAAAAGTTGTAATACATTTTCCGAAGGTACTAAAACGTTATAAAATAACGAAAATAATTTTTTTTTCAAAAATTATAACCGATCGTGAAAATTTTTTCAAGTAAAAGTTATGTGAAATTATACTATACCCAACTGAAACCCAACTGAAGAAAAAAAAATTGTAGATTTAAAAAAATAGCGAAATTAGTACTCACATCCGGTATAACCGGAAGTACAAAAAGAATGATTTCATGTCGTAATAATCCGTTTTAGCGACCTAAGTATGCATTCCAAATGCTTTTCTTATATCACCAAAAATTAAAGAAAAGTATGGGGGTGAGTCACTTTTGAGGGACACCCGGTATAATAATTACATTTTGAACTTCATAGGTACAACTAGTGTAGTTGGACGAAAATTGGACCAGTCTGCAATAAACACTGTATATGCCAACGGTGGCCAAACTGCGGCTCGCGAGCCACACGCGGCTCTTTGAATGATTATTTATGGCTCTCGATAAATGTACTCGGGGCCCTTTTTTTTTTTTAGTATATAAAATATAATTTCTCTAAAAAAATTGTTTTTAATACCTTTTTTGCATACCTTTTTAATATATACGTATTTAATTGCGGCTCGCGAAAAATTTCGAATTTTGAAAAATGGCTCGGACTATCATATGCAATAAAATTTTTCGATGATCTATT